AAATAAGGTTTTGCGACAAAATTCACGAACGCTGCGTGACATGCGCGCATGCTTATGTCCTCGCTGCTGCCCGTGACGTCCGCGCCCCCGCGCACGTGTTCCAATATTCCCCCAGCTGTGCGTCCGGCCTGGGGGCCCTGGGGGGCAAACGGTGGGAGAGCCCCCCACGGCACACTTGTGCGCGCCGGCCTTGATTTGGGTGACCGATGACTGAAACGCGCGCGAAAAAAAACATTTGAGGGTGGTGGGGTAGAAAAGTAAACAAAACAGCAGTAGTAGCAGCTGAGAAGCAATAAGCCGCCGGATCAAGGCCGGAGCTAGGCCGGATGCAGCCGTGCGGCCGGGCTGCCTACTCGTCAGGCGGAGGCGGACAGGGACCCTGCAGGGTGGGACATCTCTCGATGGCAGCGGGACCACGTGGACCACCCGGCCGGCCCGTGGAGCGCTCATAGCCAACAGGATGTGCCCCTGCTGCACCCCGCCGCCGCACAGCAGAGCGCAGCGCAGCCATCGACTCATGACGCCACGGCTATTTTTAAAACCCCCGCGCTCGAGCAGCAGAGCCGGTGTGTGTGTGGGGCTGAGCCGAGCCTAAGCACGCACTAAAAAGGTTAGGCACCGCGGCGCCCGACCAAAAGGCTGCAGTGCGAGAGGGAGAGAGCGTGTTGGGAGAGCTCTCGCTCTCTCGCACCCACACAAGCTTCCGTCGTGTGGCCAATCCTACCAGGAGCAGGCCGCTATAAGCGCGCCTCTGGCGCCAGGCCACTGCCGGCCGGCAGCGGTGCCCTAGAGAGAGAGAGGAGAGGGGGAGGGAGGTTCAGCGACCTTCAGCAAAGGGTTGAGATGACGAGTGTGTGTTCTGCTGCTGTGTGAGTCAGACTCGGCAGCAGACTCAAAGTCGCGTCGCGGTCTTGTGAAAGAGAGGCGCCACCACGACACCGACCCCACATAACCACACACACCCAAAACACAAAAACGTGTAGATGTCATATTTTTGAGTGGTTACTGTGTGTACGTCTACATGATACATACATTCATCATGCACTCTATGATGATGCGGCTGGCTGAAGTCAAGTGGAGGGAGGAGGAGGAGGGGGGGGGGGGGTAAACTGCCACATCCGGCTGCGAATGAAGCTCCCGCCGCCGGCAGCAGCAGCAGCAGCAGCAGCGCCATTCATTATTATTGAGCGTCTGACTTCGTCACAGAGCAGCAATTCATTTAGACCACCCTCCTCCTCCTTCCCAAACGTTCATATTGAATTCCGCCATGACTCCTCATTTCGATTCACATACTTTGTCCACTTCGTCGCTCCGTGCCAATAGCCATACACACCAGCGACAACAACACAAAGTTCAAAAGCAAAGTGAATCAGAGCGGCAAAATCATCCCAATTTTCGTCAGTTGTGTGTGGCTGGTGGAAAATGAAAACGGGAGCGCGAGGGGGTTGGTGGGGAAGGGCGGAGGGGGAGGGGGCGAATGCGATGTGACTGGCCGCATCGCCAAAATGAAAACGAATGCGAACACAAGAGCGCGTCAGACGTGTGTGCTCCGCCACCATTATGTGCACATGCAGGGCGTGGCGTGGCGGGGCGAGGCGGGGCGGGGCGCAAGGGGTGAACGCTCGCCCGAGGACGGGCGGGGTTCTTCTGGTAAGTCAAACGAAAAATGCACCCGGAGTTCGAACACACCACTGTTAACGCCGTGGTCGCCAGGCTTGCCAAAATGTTGGCAGTCCTTTTTGATTGCCAATATTTTGGGAAGCTAGGCGACCACGACGTTAACGGTGCCGGTCACACCACTGGAAGCGCAAAGTGTGTGAATACCGTAACACTTGTGCCTCATGTATACGAATGTTGTTCACACACAACCGCAAGTGTGCGACATTCA